GCGGGAAACATATTGACCTTAGCGTCGAAGAAGACAGCTACAACGAAGAAACTCGTGATAAGAATCACGGAGAAGAGGACGTAGAGGACGACGTGCTGAAGAAATCAGACCGAAGCAAGTATTATATCGAGGACGACCTCCAGCCACCGTTCCCGTCACAAGATACGCCGAACCCAGCAGCCGAGACAGATGCCCAGGCAGGGGGCAGAAGACAACTCCTACGGTTCCTCAGCACGATAGGACCAAGGAACATACTCACCGGCCTTCAAGGGAGGTCGGACGAGGAGAATCAAGAAGGGGAGATTCACAGAGGACACATCGCACCAAGGAAGCTGACTCCAAAGAACATCGGTATGTTCAGGGAAGGACCTCTGTTTCGACGCGACCAATGGAGAGATGCCAAAAGGACTCGCAATGACACAGGAAGTAGTGCACCAGAGAGGCTGAAATCCGGAGATAGCCGAGCTCTTGGACGAACCAAGGAGGATCTGAGGGATTACCTCCAGAGAAAGCGACAAGATGCCGAGGTGACCTCACTTGTCAAGTCGAGATAACACTGGATATAAGAAGACAGAGCTCAGCCCAAGTAAGCCGATCCCGGATTCCAGATCTCGGATCCCAGATCCCAGAAGACAAGATCTCGGCCTAAGATGATTAAGTCCGAGAAGAGAAGAGTTTACCGAGATGATATTTAACACTTGTTGAAACTTGAGAAAGTTTACAGTTGAGTAAACGAGATTATGTTTAACACTTGTTGAAATGGGACAATTTACAAGTTGAAGTTAAACCGAGATCATTGTTTAACATTTGTTGAAATTTGTGGACAATTTACAAGTTGAAGTTAAACCGAGATATTGTTTAACACTTGTTGAAATTTGTGGACAATTTACAAGTGAAGTTAAAACTGCATCGAGATCATTGTTTAACACTTGTTGAAATTTGTGGACAATTTACAAGTTGAAGTTAAAACGAGATCATTATTTAACACTGATTGAAACTTGAGAAAAGTTTACAAGTTGAAGTAAGACAAAGGATATTTCTTGTACTTGTTGAAATTTGTGATAAATTTACAAGTCGGGGCTAAGGTTGTATCAAATTAAGTACTTGGGTACTTGCCGAGGTAAAACATCAGTTTGTATAACCGAGGTGTATCACCCCAAGGCGGTTGCAAAGAATGACGGTTTCGGCTGAGAAACTTGAACGAACTTGGTCGTTGGTTCTAAGGCATTGATGAAAGCAGACTATAGGTCTTGGTCATATTGAGCCGACGAGTTCTGATTTCGGCAATAGATGATGAAGCGAGCTTAGCCGACGTACTAAATGGAAGAAATGATATAGGTTCCATCACCTCAGAATGCCGAGGTAATAGAACCTAGGGGGCTGTTGTGGGGATATATTTTCTGAGTACCAACACGTGGCCAGGGTAACGCCGACTTGTCAGCCGAGGTGCCACGTGTCCTGGTCATGACGCTGAGGTGATCTCGGAAAGGCCGAGGTTATCTCCGAAGATATCGGAATCCGAGATAAACGGATGAGGGACAAGAGTCCTAGAATGGGAGAAGACTTCAGTTTGAGTAAAGATAGGACTCTTAGAGAGTTTATCCTAATCCTACTGGGAGTCCAAGATTAGCAGTAATCCTAAGTCCATTGGAGCTAGGCTTCTATTGGGACTAGGATTATGTTGGCTATAAAAGAGAGGCACCCTCATGGGTCTATGGTATGTCTTTGATACTTTTAATATTCTGTCTAGTGAGTTAAGCACTATTGGTTATCTTTCAGAGACATTGAGTACTGACTTGATCATCGGAGTTTCCCCGGGTGGATGAGCCACCGCCGGAAACTCTTCTTTCTGTTGCAGGTCGTTCGGGCTTAACCTATTCTGCCGGTGTTCTTCAGTTAAGTACTAAGTTGGCAGTGTGGTCAGAAAATCACCAACACACATTTGATGTTTGTAATGGCAATCTCAACCTCTTCTTCCAAGATATCTTTCCTTCTTAGATTCCTGTAAGCATCAAATCTGTCTTCTTTCTTCTCCCACTCAACAATGGCATCACGAAATGCAGGCCCGGCCCTGGCCATAGGCCCACAAGGCCATGGCTTAGGGCCTCTCAAAATAGGCCCAAAATAGGGGCTCCCTCCTATTATAAGTTAGTATAATATATTGGGTATGTTTTAAATCTAAATATTTATTTAGTATAATAAATAAATTTAAAATAAATTTAATTTTTTTGACTCATTAAAAGGCCAATAGTTAAGGCCCAGCCCAACCATTTGAAAGGCTCATTTTTTCTAATTCCTAACCCTATCTCCTATTAATCCAACATTCCCTAAATTTGTTTGATATAGCACACACTAGCGGCATAGGGACGAAGTAGCAGCAAACAGGTAAATTTTTTATTCATTTATTTATTTTCTATTCAATTAGTTAATTAAATATTTATCTTGTCTTTTGCACAATTAATTGCTATTATAATATTGGTATTTACATCATTAAGAAGAATTTATTTAAGTTTAATAGTTCACATCACATAATTTAAAAATTTTGTGTTTTGTTAAGTGGTGGTGCTCTTATTTTGAATTTTGATTTAAAAAAATATTTTGATCTCAGCACAGCAAACACACGTAATTTTTTTTTTTTCTATTCAATTAATTAATTTTTTTTCTAAATATTTTTTGTGATTTTAATACAAATCTTTTGTCATTTACCTTAAAAAATTGTGAAAGGCCCCAGAAATTTAATAGTTGATTATCGGTTTTGGGCCCCGAAAATCTCAGAACCGGGTCTGACGAAATGCTACTGTAAATTTCTTGGGTTTTTCAGAACCATTCACACACAAGTAAACTTCTTTTGGTATCAATATTGAAGTCCTACTGAAACCAAAGGTAAACAAGTGGGTAATTTCTGCCAATGCAAGCCATTTTTCTCCTTCCGGTATCAGATTTCTATTAAATCTGAATCAAACAATTTTCGAACTTTTCTCATTCTAATGCAAGAATGTGTATTACAATGATATTTCTCAATAATTTCCATGCTTGATTAGTTTGTGAAAATTGAACAGTTGGAGGCAAATAGAACTTAGGGTGTTTCTCAATAATTTTCAGTTTACTCTTTTATCATACCAAAAACTAGAAAATGTAGAAAATGTTTTTCAGAAAAACTTCTTTTCGATGAAACAAATAGAGCGTAAAGCAGTTGGTTTGTACTAATGCATGCACATATTATTGATCCAGGTAATTGGTTAACAATCCCATGTTCTTTATCCCCTCTGTTCTATGTATTTTGTATTCCTTTCTATGTTTAAGGGCATCAACGACAGCCCTAACACTTGTTTACACCACTCGGTTTATGCAGCGATTAGCTGGTTCACATTCATAGGCATCGCAAACTGTTGTGAACCGTCAAAAACGGCGTTGACAAAGAGGTGAGCTGCTGCTTCAGTGGGATGGTAGAGATCCCAGAAGACATGATCACTTCTGTTGGAGCAGTACTTGGCAACGGGCACGCATGGAACTTGGGCTCTCAGGTTCCCCAACCCACAACAAGCTGATTGAACCTCAGTAAAACCTGAATATTTGACAAAACATTGTGGTTAATTGCAATTATTGGAGAAGAATTCCAAAAAGAGTAAGTTACCGATTGGCTTTTGGATTTGTGGACAGAAGAGAAAAGTGAATGGTTTAGTTTTCAGATTTTTTTTTAAACTAACAATTGGAAACTAGTTTGATAACACTATTAAATACCAAGAAAAAGATATTTTTGAATTTTTAAAAATCATTTGCATTCCAAAAAAGTGAATCACATGAAAATAATGAGCTTTTTGAATATTTTAAGATAACAATTTGAGAGAAGTCAAACTTTTTTTAAAAAATTTCAAAAAGCAAATTCTGAAAACTAAAATTGTCTTTTATAAAACAAATCTCTCTTTTTGTTTACCTCTCTAGTAATTTTTTCATCAGTAAGAGATTTGAGATGAGCAAAAACTTCTTTGTGAGAAAGGAGAATCCATTTTACTGTGCAAGATTCATGGGTCTTTTTATATATATATATATATATATTGGGATCAATGCAACCATGAATGGACCACACTTCTTTTATTTTCCCATGGCATGAGAGCTTTACTGAATATTCAAGTTATGGTTTGGATTAAAGCGCAGACATGGTCAATTATTGAACCAATTTTATCTTTCATGAGTTGGGTTGGTTCCGTTTTTAAAAGTGGCACAATTTCATCTCAATTTTTATTCGTCTTGGCTTAATTCAATTTAGTTGGTTCATTTTGATTTAAAATTTTTGAACAAATCAGCGCTGATTTGGTTTAGGATCTAACATTCACTACAAGAAAATGCAGAATTGGCGACTAAAATATGTATTTTCGTCGCTGAAAGTAGTACGAATGGTGACTAAAATCAGTTTAGTCGCCAAAGGTGAGCA